TCTTTATCATTTATGTCCCCACACCAGGGAGAAGCTTTCCAGGACTCACCAGGCAGCCATGACAAACTCTGCTGGTTGTCCCTTTCTGTAACTCCATCAACAAGCTCTGGAATCGTGTGATTTTTACTTTCTATTAATGCAAAAGGCTTAAACATACCTGATAAAAGGTCTACACATCCCACTGAAGCCTACAAGCACAAGGTGGGCACAGTGAAGGGAATCAAAATTGGAGCAGAGAAAATCTTGAGCAGTTGCCCATGGACACTAATCAGCTTATATCTTTCATTTTCAGAGCTTAACTGAACCAACTAAAGAGAGAAGATAATTGGTTACTATAGGCAACTGCACCAGCTTCTGTCTGTTCCTGTGTTGGTAAATTCCCCTCATTGGTAATACAGGAATCTTGTTCATTGACACACCTACTAAACAACTAAAAATAATCACTTCTGGCAGTCTAATTCTAGGGGAAATTTTAACCTAACGTTAGATCTCTTAGTAGACATTTCAGATGGGAAATCTTCCCTGCCTTATAGATCCCTGAAATCTATCAAGACTCGACTGAAAACATTACAGCTGGTCGATACCTGGTGGCTTCTTCACCTGTCAGATTGAGACTACAGTTATCAGCTCCCCATCAGAAATGCTCCAGTATAGACCATTTCTTCATCTCTCACAATCCTCTCTCACTTCTCGGAAGTGCACAAATTCTCCCACTTCTCAGACCATGTACCTCTGTCCACGATGGAGCTTCAGCCCAAAACACTGAAAATGGTATTTAAATCCCGCTCTTCTTTCCAATGAAATTGATACACAGTTCATCCAAAAAGCAGTTTCACAGATATCAAACAGATATGTCCCCATTTACTATATGGGTGGCCCATAAGTGCACTTCAGGGGAAATTTTCATACTAGGTAGCAGAGTGAAGAAATAAAACGGATTAAAGTCAAAATTTGTCCAGATGATCACAGAACTTGAACAGGCACACAAATACTCGGTTTTCCTTATAGGTCAATCTCAACTGATTGCATTATGCAAGAAATTGTTGGATAATTTTGATGCCAAGGTAGGAGACAGAACATGTTTATACAACCCCAATTATTTTATGAGGAACAAATCCAGTAAATATCTGGCCAAAGCTCTCCAGGACCAGAATTTAGAGAACTCCAAGGTCCTCAGAAGTTACACACAATTTGGCAGATGTTTTTCACAGATTACTCTAAACTCTATAACCAGCTTGGCACCTTTGCACCCTAGTCAATGGACTACAAATAGTTTTTTCCTATGTTGAACACAGTGGACTCTCCCCTTACCAAAGACCAGGCCAATAAGTAAAAAAAACAAAAAAAAACCCTTGGAGGAGTTCCTCCAAGCTCTGTACCTCGTGAAATCAGGTAAAAGTGTGAGCCCAGATGGGTTTATCTCAATTTATCATAAAACTTTGACCAAACAGCTCACACTATACTTTCTAAATGCCTTCAGAGCAATTATTCATGGCTTCCCCCACACCTTCTCAAAGGCTTACATATTAGCAATTGCAAAGATAGGCAAACCATGCTGTGCCTAAATTGCCGGCCGATTTCTCTAAATGTCAACAAAGATTGTCTCAAAACTTTGGCAAACAGAATCTTAATATCTATTGTGGCCTGGATCAGGGGAGGTTAACGCTAGAAAGAGAGGCAAGGGACAATACCATCAAATCTCTAAACATGGTCAGCTATATGAGGCTTCGGGGCTTTGCAGACCTTCTCCTTCAGCAGAGTGGCCTGGAACTTTATTTTCCCTACCTTGGACAAAATAAGTTTGTGCATATGATCTTCTGGATTGTCAGCTTATCTTCTCCCCCACCACTAGGCTTAAACGTAATATGCTCCTGTTAGGTTTGTTCGCTATTAAACATGTGATGCATCAGGGTTGTCCCCATTCATTTTTTATCTTGATAATGGAGCCATTCATTTGCACCATCAACCTATCTCCTGATTGCAGACTTTGGCTTACTGTTTAAAGGACTTAATGTTTTACAAATATTATCCAACTCAGATGCTTTCCCATCTCGTGGAAATGTTGAAACTTTCAGCTACCTGTCGATTTTGAAAATAAACTTATGACAAATCTATGGCTCTCAACATTTGCATCCCCACCTTCACTTCAGGAACGACTTAAAAGTAGTATTAAACTCTCAAATGTGTTGTCAAAGATCAATCCAGATGAAACAAATATACATTGCTCAGAAAAATATTTCTTTATATTTTTGCCCAAACACTTACAGTCATCATGTTTCTGAACAGCTGGCTCCAAATCTCTCAGCTCAGATTTCCTGAACTTCCTATGCAGTAGATCACAAGGGACAGAGCAGCCTCCTGCAACTGTCCATCTACCACGTTGGAGAATGGAGGAAAAAAAAAAAAAAAGGGACTGTGCAACAGGGAAGTGGCTTGCTTTGCATTGCCAGTGTGTTTGTGAAGACACACACAGCTTACCAGTGCACACAAGGGTGTCTCCATAGGGCCCTGCAAGGGAAAAGAGCTACCCTAAAAACAGGATATATATCAAGGCCTGTGTTCAAGACACCAACTGATTCTGGAGGAAACCAAAACTTGTGATTAAGTAAGTGATTTAGTGATAAATGTTAAACATTTGAACAATAATGGGCAACATAAAAAAATAGACCACTGTTTTAAAAGAAAAGAGTCTCAGAACTGCAACATTAGGCAAAAAAGATAATCAGGCTTATAATTACATACTTTTACCCACAGTTCTTGGCGATACAAGCCCAACCAGCTTCTCACTTACCACAGCGGCAGATCTGCATACTTGTACATTATGGAACACTTACCTCCTGGAGTGGTCACATCCAATGATGCAACTTCCTCAATCCCCCCTTCACTAGGTCTTTTCTGCCGACATCTTTTGCAGATCTTCTTCCGGGTCTGACATCTTCCATGATCCCCATTGATAATACAACTTCTGCACATGTGCACAGGAGTTACATAGTTTTTGGCATCTTACAGATACTGGGAATGAGACGGGGTGCACGCTGACCTGTGATTGTGCTGCATGTCTTAACTGAATAAAGACTTGCTAGAGGAAAGAAGGAACCGTTTGGTTTTTTTTTGGAGAAGAGACTTTGCATGTTTCTCCTTCAAAAAACTCCACCTTCTGGCAGCTTTTATTCAGTTTAGTTCCTCATATAGGGCTTGTTCACACCAAAACCAGTGCGTTCCAGCACTACTTGTGGCTGGAGTGCAGTGGATTGTATAATTAAGCCTCCCTGCATTCTGGGGCGGGAGGGGGCGCCATTCAAGTCAATGGCACCGCAGCCACGCCTCCCTCCCCCAGCGATCACCCGCACCAAAATGCATGGCACAGCAGCAATGCCCACGGTGCAATCCAAAAAATTGTGCACAGCGCCCCCTCCCGACCCAAAATGCAGGGAGGCTTAATTATGCGATCCAGTATGTTCCAGCCACTAACAGTGCTGGAACGCACTGGTTGTGGTGTAAGCAAGCCCCATAAGAGGAACTAAACTGAATAAAAACTGCTAACTGGGGGGGCCAGAGGGGACCAGTTTGTGGGGGGAAATTCAGTATCCTACATTGACTGGGAAACTAGAATTACCCTTTAAAGCAGATGTCTGTTCTGACCCAATATGCTCACCACACTTGTATACCAAGCTCCAAAATGCATTCAACATTCTCTCCTTTTGGGACCTAGTACACCAGCCTTTAAAATGACCATTTACAAATATCAGAGTCATGGTCATAGGGGCTATTACTGGGCAGATGTCAATAGTTTCAATCATCTGAGTGCTTATTATGTATCATAGATGTCAAATTTCTCATGGTGTGTTTGTGTCACTGCCTTCTCCCATTAGGCTATAATGACAGTGCCACTTTGTTGTAGCTGAAAGTTGTTCAGCACAGAAGATCCATCAGGGGAATTTAGCACTAGAGCACATGCAGTAGTTGGGTGCAACTGGGAATACTAACAAATAGAGTTTGTGAGAGACATTAAAAGCCAGCATGTGATTCAGCTTACCAATGGCAATGCAAACTACTGGTTTAGGTGCAGATGGCGTTTAATCTCTAACTTGTTGTTGTATCCCCTTATACAGATGAATGTATTCCTTTGTGAACAGAACACTTCTACAGAGGAAACTGCTGTATGGATTAGGCTCCTGTACACAATACACTAGTGTTCAGATTGTCATGTACTATATTTCCTTTCACAGCCTAAATGCTTTGCAGTTCTGTCACTATGATCTGTAGAAACAATATTTATAGTGTTTCTTGAAAAACAGATGAGTATGTTGAAAAAAAGGTGGCAAGAGACACTATAAAGATGTTAAAAAGGAAAGTGGTTTTCTATCTATACACACACACACACACACCTGCAAGTCTATTTCAATTAACTTATTTTTTAATACTATATAGTATCAGACAATTGTAATATTAAGTTTATAGCATTGTTTTATCTACTCAATGAACCCATATCGCTTGTATGACATCACTATGTCAAGGATGACATAGTGATCACATGGTTTGGTTGGTTCCCAAGCATTAGGCAGGACCAAAGTGGTCAGTGACAGTTGGGTTTTGACAGCTGGTAAATGTCAAAAGGAGAAAGTTTAATAACATGTCAGCATGGGATATTGTGCTGAGGGATGTTAATTTTCAGATTGCCAGAGGAAATGGTTTAAGAAGACTACCACATAATAGCTAAAAATTTATGTAGTACTGAAAAGGTGATTTCAGAAAAGAATTGGTGGTGCATTTACAGTATTTCTATGCCAGATTGGGCATATATAAGACGGCCTATCGCATTTACCCTTTTTGGAGAAGTTAAACAAGATAGTTAAACATATCAAAGCACATCCTATTCTATAATGAATAATAACAATCTTCTGTTAAGCAGAAATCATATGTAATTGTTTCCATAAGTTAAAAAAAATTACATGCCGAAGTGGTGCAGGAAAAAGGTAATAGAAAAAATAATGTATTTAAATGTGTGCGAGAGGGTTGACAAAACTACCTTTTTTTGGCATTTTCCTCAATTTTCTAACTGAGCTTTTAGAACGTTTACTGGTCACGTGTGGGTTGGAGGGTGGAGGTGCAGAGGTAAGACGCACAGGAAGCCCAGCCGCAGACATCAGAATAGCCGTCATGCCTAGATGTACATGAAATCCACATGCAAAAAAAAAAAAGGAAACAATGGGGTAGGGTAGGAAACAAAAAAAAAATATCAAAAAAATTCCAAATAAAATGAATGGATAAATGCCATACAAAACAATGTATGCCTAAAAAAAAAATAAGTAACAAAAAAGGAATTGTTATAAAAATAAAGTGTTGCAACATCTACACCAAATGATTTGCTGTTGTTGCTTTTCATGCAGCTCAGGACTAAGAAACAAGGTGCATGCTGTGCACAGTCCGCACTGAGCAGTTACACAATGACCATAGCGACTTCCTGTCTCAATTTGTTCCATTAAGATGTGCAGTGGGCTTCACAAATACTAGTGAAGGAAAATGGTCTGTGCAGACAGCACATGCTTTTTTCCTTTACTTTTATATACAAGCTACACGCTCAATCACCATCTCTTTTTAAATGCAGTGCTAAAAGGAGAATGTTTTAGTGTGTTGTGGATCTTATTTAGACATACATGCACGAAGCCCAATGTGCTCTACTTAAATGTGATATGTTTTCGGAGTGCTGTACAGCTGTTTATTTGTATCATTAGACTTGTTAGGTTTTATTTTCATTTAGAGCTGCAACAGTTAATCGATTTAGTCGATTAAAATCGACGATTGAAAACGTTACCAACGTTTTATTTGCATTTGCATAATGCTTCAAATAAGAGTCAGCACTGTTGGGCCAACCTGCAGTTAGCCAAGCAGTATTGGCATTGTATGAGGATTCTTTGAATCAATAATATTGCATATGAAATGCACTGAAGGCCTATTTACTTTTGGGTATGGATTGTAAATGTATCTACACCCAAAATTAAAAATGTAATATACTGCAGTTTACCAATCCTTAAAAGTGGTGTTGGTTGCATTAGCTCTATTTTTATATGTTTTTCCCCTCATTTTCACCTGGTGATCTGGCCAGAAAGTCTGTTCAACTTCCTTTAAAATACCAAGCAGTCCAGCAAAAATGGCAGATAAAGGGTTGAAACAAAACATTTAATTTTAATTTCATTATTGTAAAACCTTTATCCAAAAAAAGGAAAAACATTAAATTGTTGATGTCAGTGCTTAAAAAGTGTTAGCTAGAGTTTAGATTTCATTTTTTTATCAAGTCCATCTGAATTTGCTAGTGCATCTAACACTACCTACGTCCCAGGTGGACAATGCTGCTGTCCAAGGGTGGCTCCATTGCTCCTCCACTGTGTGGAGCCACCCTGCAACAGCCAGTGTGTTACAGCCCGGATTACCAGGTAAACATAAAGGGGAAAAAAAAGCTAACAAAAAGGAAGCTAATGCAGACATCACATCTAAGGATTGGTAAGCTGCAATATATTATTTTTTTTCTTTTTTTGGGTTTCACAAGGTGCATATCTAGCTAAATGTTTATGTTTTTAGGTGTTTTTTTTGGGGGGGGGGGGGATTCCATTTCCTTCCTCCCCTGGAAACACTAGAGGAAGAAAAATGTCTACAAAAAATTAGATAAAATGCCCTTTTAGACTGATGCCACTGGAATAGGTATCCCTATCTCCTGTTTTGGTGAGAATTGTATTTGCAATTACCTTCTGTCCCAGTGACACCGGGGCAAAGTGAGAGGAAGAATCTTCCCAGCATCTGCACAGATAGCAACAACCTGATCAACCCATCCTCACAGGTTTAAAAACATGTCCGGAGACACACTTTAATATATACCATATAAACAAATTCACAATAACCCTTTTTATTTTCTTTTTAACGTGAGAAAATGTTTCCATTTAATTTACTTATGTTTGATGTACCTTGTTAGGAACCATGCCTAATACTAGGCATGTGCAAGCAGACAGACAGATTGAAAGAAGCAAAAAGTGGAAGGAAAGCATGCTCCATGATGAAAGTAGGTAGATAAGAGTCTAGTTACCAAACAAAGAAAGTACGTAAACAAATTAAAACGTGCAGAAAAACAGGTGTATGTAAATTGAACTAACTTACTATGTAAAATAGCTGGAGCTTGAGAATATCAATAGACACAATACTGGAATAAAAGAGCACAGGAAAGTTTCTTCCTGGAGTATTTCATTTTTAAATTAAGGTAGGAAAGGTATACCTATACTATCCTGTGTAGAATCATTACACCTATCCTAAATTTTTAACCTTTTCAAAAGGGGTTTAAGACACTAATGATTTAATTTTGCAGCTTAAAGCCCATTTCTACCTTTGTAAGCGATTAGCATTTACAGTAAACTCACCATTATCCGACATTCAGCAACCAGCACTCTCAAGCAACTGGCAAAAAAAATAAAAAAAAATAATCGAGGACATTTTTGCCAGTGGCATGATGCACACTAAAAAAATCGTCAGTTGCTCGGTGCACACTAACAAATTCTTTGTTTAGATCTTGCTACCGGCTAGATTCCGCAAACCGTAGCAGAATGTAAACAATGGGGAACAATAGCCAGCCTGCTCTTGGCCATTTCAAACTGCAATATCCAATAGCAGACTGGTTATTGTACCTACCCACTGAGCAGAGGAGCAGACCAGAGAGAGGACTTTGTCTCTTAGGATCCCTTCCCCGCTCAGTGGGCGGGTTGCAACAGCCAGCCTGCTATTGCACCCACCCATTGAGCAGAGGAGCGGACCCGAGACAGAAGTTGGGGTGGTTGCTTGGGACTTACTATTAAATCAAGCAACCAGAAACTATAGTTATCCGGCACCTACCGATCCCAGTGGGTGACGTAAAACTGGGAGTTTCTGTATTAAGGTATTGTAGAAGTGCAATGATGATGTATATGCGTGTACATTTTCATGACTCACATTGCGGGCAATCTTAATTTTTGATGGACTTTTTAGTAGGCCTAAGTCCTACAAAAATTGAAAATACACTGTCCAGTTAGGGTTGCCACTAATAATTATGGGGGGGGGGAAATCTCAGAGTGTGGTAATTCACACACAGGAAGCCATTTCAAATAAGCCATGAGTAGATGAAGAGGACAAAAATGTTTGTATTCATATACAGCAACTGCATATGCCTGGCTTCAGGTACACTTGGTGTACATTGTTTGCATATGTTTTTAAAAAAAAAAATACCTTTGCAGAGGTGGAAATGGGCTTCATAAAGCAAAACACATTTGTATCTATCCCTATGGCTTATGGAATAAAATTGAAAGTATTAAGTTACCTTTACTAAAGATAAAAAAGAGCATTTTTTTTAACGTGCCATAAAATCTTTTTTAAAAAACAAATTCATTACGGGACACAGGAAGTCATTAACTTTCAGATTATACTGCTGCTTTATGTGGAATGGACAGTGGCAAGCAAATAAAACCCCCAAAAACTGCCAGCCCAGGATAGCCACTCTTGCTACCAGCATGCCTCAGTTTTGTAGCAAAAGCAGTAAAGAGCATAATCATAAAACACAGGCGGTGGGAGCTTCACACCTCCTCAATAGACTCCAGGAAGGGGATTTTATGGGGAGTACAAAAATTCTAGTTTCATTCTCATCCAATGAGGTACATAACCTTTATCCTTCGGGACATCCAAAAGTTGTCCAATTGAGTGGTGGGCAACACAAATCACTAATGGGCCCAAGAAAACAACAGAGAACTGGGAACTACCTGCAGCACAAAAAGCCAACTGAAAGACCTTATGGCCAAAGCTGGCATCAGATGACACTGAATCCACCTGGTAGAATTTGGAGAACGAGTTAACCGAAGACCAGGTGGCAGCCTTGCAAATCTAAGAAACAGTTGTTTGATGCCAAAAGGCCATAGATGTGTTCACAGATCTAGCATAGTGCGCCTTGACCGGAAATTATGAAACCCAATCCTTGAGACCATACATTTAAATGTTAGCCTGTCTTTGCCACCTAGAGAAGTTGGGGGCACTCTTACAGGGTCCATCCGGGATGACAAAAAGAGAAAAATCAGACTTTTTGAAAGAAACAGTGGCTGAAAGATAGACTCGCACAGTCCGAACCACTTCCAAACAATGGAGGGAAATTTCCTTTCGATTAACCAGAGCCAGAAAAAAGGGATGGTGGTATCTCTAGCAAAAATTTTAGATATACACAGTGACACCCAGCAATGCCAGAAATACCACGGTGACACCCAGGAGTAAGTCTTTCCTCTAATCTTCGAATGTACAAAAAGGCAAAAAAAAAAGGTGATGAAAGAAGCACAACAATTACAGCCAAAATATGTAGTTTTAATCTCAACACTATAGTAGGTAAAGGATTCTGTCAGGGAAGACCAAAAGGGCCATATAGGGCTCCCAGAAGGGTACCCCTGGTAACAAGAACACAAGAGAATAGCACATAAAAGGTAAGAGCCAGAATTCACAAAAGCGATCATACCAGAAGATCCTTATTTTTAAAAAAAAAAAAAAGTAGCACATGCGAAAGATGAGATGGGAGGCTTCCAGCAAACCGTCACAGTAAACATTAACACTACAACAATTTGCTCCATGCGTTTAATAAGCAAGGAATCAACCGCAGTAGTGGATAGATTTCCTTTAGGCCTGGTTCATACCTGGACGTTTTACAGCGCGTTCCTATGGGCTGTAAAACGCTCCACATGTGAAAACCAATAATTGCCTATGGGCATGGTTCCCACCTGGGCGTTTTACAGCGCGTAGGAACGCGCTGAAAAACGCCCAAAGAAGTATAGGAGCTTCTTTGGGGCGTTTTTCTGCGCGTTTCCATTGGTATTCCCGAGTGTGGATCGGGGTTAACAAGCGGTAACCCCGAGCCACACTCGGGAATACAGCGTACAGGTCTTACCTTGTCCGCGATCCCCGCTGTGTCCTCCGGTGGCTGCCGACTTTCGGACTCGTCGTCGCAGGGGGGCGGAGCAGGCGGGAAGTTTGAAAGTGAAAAAAATTATATATTTTTTTTAAAATAGAGAAAATAAGGACAACATTTTTAAAAAAAAAAATCATACCGCCAGTGAAACGCGCGTTTCACTGAACAAAAAAAACGCAAAAAAAACCAGCTGAAAAACGAGCAGAAAAAATAAGCTCAGGTGTGAACCCAGCCTTAGCGATCGTTCACACACCATAGCATCATGCTAAATTCACAGACCGAACATACCAGAAGAGGATTCTTATTTTCAAAAAAGTGACAGCTATTTTCTGCTTGATATTTGAAAACTACAGTCACATGAATGAAAATAAAGATCCTTATACTAGTGTAAAAGCCAGTGTAAAGGAGGTCCTGCATTATAGGGGAGCATGTTGAGGGCCCGTCCATAGAGGAGAGTACCAGCTGCTGGAAACGAGGAATAAGGCAAGTATTTCTTCTTATTACTTTTCCATTACAGTAAACAAGCAGTTAAAGGAGAAGCATTGGGAGAGTAAAATATACTCTTACCAATACTTAGAGCCGGCTTGAGACACTGCAGCTGTCACACTCTGGCTCTATATACCGAAAGCCGAGCGATCGTGTAACCGCTGATCACTCAACCGTCACCGTTCCCCTCAGGGATTTCCTCGTCCCCTCTCTCTTTTCCTCCAGCACTCATTGGAGGGACCGAAAGGGAAGGGGCCGGACACAGCTGGCTCTAGATGGCAACACAGCTCTGCGCCATCAGCATATAAGCTTGGCTTTACTTCTTTTAATCCTTGCAGTGGGTGGGGGGAATCAAGACCAGTTTTTCAGCAAACTTTTTTTTTAGACAGAAGGTGCTAAAACAGTGATGTAAATGTAAAAAAAAAAGCACCCTGCTTTGCTTGAACATTTCTTCTTAAAAATTCCCGGTTCCCCAAATCCAAGGTCCTCTGCAAATATTGAACTGGGGCCTAGACTGCTAACTAATGAGTTGAGGCTAACCCTCATGCTTAAAAAACGAATAATTATGGGCTAAAGGTTGGAGGCCAGCTTTAGTAAGAGGTTATTTGCATACTTGCGCTCCCTACCTTTTGGTGTATGTGGGGTGCTTAATAAGGCAATTAAAAAGTATTTGGGTTGGCTGAAAGGCTTGCTTGATATTGGTGCTCAACTATCTGGCAAATGTATTATTTAGCACTGCCAGACTAACCACTAAGTAGGACTTATCCCATTATTTTGACTTATGAGTTTTGTTTTTAAATCATACACAGTTTTGAATCTGGTTTAATAACGTTGCAAATTATTCTATTTCAAAATTAAAATGTCCAATGCAGGTTGCAGGAAAAGACTGGCCACCCAAAGATCCAAATGTGTGCTTAAGAATGGCCACAAATGCATGTTTATGGCTATGGAGGCGCATAAACGAATGTTAAACATATAAAGCTAACCTAGACCACCTACACCAAGAGCTAAAATTGTACAACAAAAATTCAATGTTAAAACATCTTAAATATCTTTCGGTTAAACATTTAAGAAATGCAGGTCACAAGAAAAGCACATACTGAAGTAGCTGGCTAGAAAGCAAAAGAAAATGTTAGTGAATATTACTGTGTTAGCGGTTAATACATATTTTCTAAATGTTATCAAAAGCAGCAGATACAAAAGTAAGAAAAAGAGGGATGTCCCATCAAACATTTTGTGTTACATCATTTTTTGTTATCAGTATTGCAAGTAAGAACCTGAATATACACAAAAACTATGATCAAATTTAAAAATGACCAAAATGTGTGTAGCTAGCATTAAACGGCTATCAGTTGACTGAGTAGCAGTTTGCTAAATCTTCTGGAAAAAAAAAAAATCCATCTAGATGTCAGACATCACATGCACTGAAGTCACCTTGTGTCCTCTTAATCACTCAAATAAGGCAGCAGCCAAAAGGACAATTCCAGGATACTATTAGCCCTCGTTCACACCTGAACGTTTTGTAGCGCGTTCTATGCTCGACGCACGCTCTACAAAACGCTCAAACATCTATATCCCATTGTATTCAATGGGTCTGGTTCACACCTTGGCGTATTTCAGCCCGTCCCGAACGCGCTACATAACGGCCCATGCCTGAAAAGGTACATGTACTACTTTGGGCCGTTTTTGTTGCGCGTTTCAATTTTTTTTACCACGAATCGCGGTAAAAAAACACGCGACAGACGCGCATATGCAATACGCCTAGGTGTGAACCAGGGCTTAGTCTTGCAGGAATAATAGAGCACAAAGTATAGAAATTAAAGCATTGTTTAAACAATGTGGGCTCACTATGCATTTTGTAAGGTGGCTCAAGGTCCATAAAGCAGGCACCCCCAAAAATAAAGTGTGCTAAAAATAAAGTGTGACAGTGATCAGACAGATCACTGTCACACTTTATTTTTAGCATGCCCAGGCATTACAAAAACCGAAGCATTCTATTAGATCATTGAAGACCACGCAGCTAACTGGCTTGCTTTCTCTTGCTCCTATCTACTGGCCAGTGAAGCTGTCTACAGTGTCTTTTCAGCCAAGAAGAACATAAGAAGGGCAGGAGGAAGCAGACAAGTTACTAGCTAGAAAGCTATTTGGTTGCCTGTTTTATGGTCCTGGGGTCAACTTAAAAAGTTAGGTGACCCCAAACGGTCATTTTCAAGGCTATGCATTCTAAGAGTTTTTGGCCAAAAACACTTTTATCTGCAGGCATAGTGCAGCAGTCTACCCATCTTTGTTGCACCACAAAATGAGCAGACAGGCATAATGATCATTGGATCAGACTGTCCACTGTGGTTACAGGAATTCACATTTATGTCAAAGTTCCTATACTGTACACTTGTGCACATCTGCAGACATTTCATAATAAAAAAGCTGCTTGAATGCACTGGAACAACACATTCATAGAGCTTAGAAATGTAAAAAAAAAGAACACTCTCTGAAAGACAAGTCTAAAACGTCTACATTTATAAAGCAAATAGGCTCAGCAGAAATGACTTATGAAAACTGGAGGGAAGTGCCAATGCAGCCAGTGGCTATCAAATAACTTCAAATTGTCATTATTCTGCTTCTCAAATATAATAAGAATATGAGTGTCTGCTACAGGCAACAGACATTGTTTTCTCCCCTACAGTTTTTATAAAATCTGGGACAAAATCTAAAAGCTTCTGGTATTAGGATGGTGAAGTACTGGACTTTAAGCCTCCAGGTACCAAATAAATCAAACTGGTGGAAGGTGTGGAAAGTGGCAGCTCTTGGTGGAGCTCAGTGTGCCTGGGAAAATCAGCTTATATGGAGTAAACGTACGAAAGCACCAAAACCTTATTAATTGGTCCAGATATACATTTTTATGTCGCAATAAAATATATTTTAGAAAACATATATCCATTGTTCTATCCAGCTCTATAGATGTACAATACTCTAACTTATGAATCATTTTCAGACACTTACAATCTTCTGAAAAATAAATGTATTTCTGGAACATTAATCCTGATGAAGGGGGGTGTGCGCACCAACCCTGAAATGTGTTGGCTGTCATCTCTTAATAAGATCCTTTTATTAAAAACAAATAAAAATGTATACCTGGACCAAACTCTGCAGCTTGGTGCCCTCATCCTTTCACTCCCAAAAAAAATATCTAAAATATGATTCTATAAAGACCTTACAAAGGAAATGGCATATTAAGATTATTTAAATAATACTGTTTTACCTGCAAAGGCCTCATTCACAGAACATACATACACACACTGCATTACATTTTAACATCAGTTTTAATATAAATAGAAAATGCCTAAAAATAAAACAAAATAGTAATTCCTCTCATTCAAATTAACCAGATGTCAAATGATGATATAAAAGTAGCTTTAAAATAATATAACACAGGAAATTGTGCAGTTGTCTGTAAAGGTTCTCAGTGAAAAGAAATGCAACCACAGAGGGGACAAACTTAAGTGGACATCAAAAGGTGAAGATTTGCTATGCTATGAACACTTCGAAATGTTAATTGAGTCTAATCAGTACCCGGAAACACTACCTTGTCCGAAATGCCTCCTAAAAATTAGCCATACATGATTTCCTGGTATGTGGAGGATACCTAAACACTCCTGTGTCTACAGTCTCATAGCTGTATATCTGCTGCATGGGATTTAAGGATCTACTGTCAATGACTGCTAGTCTCAGCAGATCTGGAGTGATATTTGATGATGTCACTACGGTGCTGCTCACTGTTCTCCTTGCTGGAGACTGACATGAGGAAGCCATGCCTCTCACTAAACGACTGCCTCCACAAAGTGACACAGGGCAAAATAAATTATAAATCTGTAATGGGGGAAAGAACCTACAGGGAGACCACAGGCAATACTGATCACTAATTGTTTGCCCTATGTCTGCCATTGTTTCCAGAGTTCATCTTCAAAGTACAACTATAGGTAAAATTAACAATCACATACAGTATATGCTGCAGTCCGTCTCCAACATTAACATGGCAATTTTTTTTTTTTAGTCCCCCTGTAACATAATACGTTTTATTACCTGTTGATCCCGCCAATATTGCCGTTATTCTCCACTTACTTTAAAAGGGTGACAACGCTGTTGATTATGTAGTGAAATTGTACAGCAGAGTGGGCCACTATGGGATAGGGTAGTCTCAGCCTCCATTCACACTGGAGCGGCTGTCTGCGCGTATTTGGTTGTACGGATACACGCGAAGCCTCTCTGATCAGCGCGTTTCCATTGCAATCTATATGGAGTGTGAAAAAAGTAACTCGGAAGGCATTTTGAGCGGCAGGTGGTCTGAATCGCATGGAGCTGCGCGATTGCATAAATGGTCCCCATAAGAATGTATGGGATCGTTCATGCCCGCAGTTCAGTGCGGACAAATCCGCGCGACCAAACCACCCTGTTGTGGACTGGGCCTGATAGCCGTCAAAGAAGGGCATCTGTGCAGATTAAAAATGTTAGGGTTTTCGGCCCGCATGGTCTCCATGTGAATGGAGCCTAAAGCTAGCCATACAGGCCAACTCTAAAGAGAATCTAAACCAAAAAACAAACATTTAATATATTGCAGCTTACTGGTCCCTACATGTTATGCCACCATAAGATTTCTTTTTTCCTTTATTTTCAACTAGTGATTTGGCCAGTAAGGCTGTAATTTTCCACATTCCTTTAACAGATCAAACTGCCCAGCGTAAGTGGCAGATAGAGGTTTGAGACAAACCATTTAAACACTGACAGAGAGGGCTTACAATGATCAGTTTTCTATATATTTATGTAAAAAAAAACAACCTAAAAAAATTGAACACTAATGCAGCCACCACATCAAAGGATTGTTAAATGCAATAGATTATATTTTTAGTTCTGGGTTTAAATTCACTTTAAGTTTGTTCCCCCCAGAAGTTGTGTTACCTTTTCACTAAAGAAATTCTTACAACAAATGAAAGTGTCTGCCCTTCCCACTAACCCCTAAAACTATACATATATCATCTCTCCCTCTATCTTCAGATTTCATGTTAAAAACAACCCATTCTAAAACTCTAACATTACAACTCCCTATATTTAAATCTCTTAAAATGTCTATGTCCCATAAATACCTTTGAATATATGCCAAGGACCACAATCGCATGCACTCACTGTATGCCTTTCTACACAAACCACTCTTCTTTCCTAAGGCCTGGTTCACACATAGGCATTTTTGAGCCGTTGGAAAAGCGCCCAACACAAGAAATCACATGATTTTCAGTGGCCCCTGTTCACACCTGACCAACAAAACGCCAGCAGGAAAACGCTAAACACACGAAAAGGTACATGAGCTTCTTTGGGCTGTTAACAGTGCATTTTCTGCCTCATAGACTTCAATGGAAACACACGTCCATTGCGCGCAAGGTTTCTGAAGCTGCCAGTCAAAACGCACGTCTTCATGTATGCACAATCGCATTTCAAAATGTGTAAATAACCGCACGCTGAACACGCGCGTACAAAATGTGCAAAAACAATGCTGCCTCAGTGTGAACCCGGCCTAATATTTCCCATTGCAGTACACAGGCAGAAGCACTGTGCTCAGAAACTAGTACAACTTTATTTTTCACTACTCCATCACAGCTTCACACCACCTTCCTAATGTTCAGCCCACATCTGAGCCCATCCCTCTACTTTGCCATCCTTCTCTACAGCATG